CAGACACATATGTCTGGATTTATGTATGCACATACCTATGTACAGAAGTAGGTACATTGTCTCTCATAGCAAAAGGAAATTGACTCCTAAATTAAGAAAACAAACTCAGTTGCAAGCTTAGATAGCAGCGGTACAGGTTTTCTCGAAATTTTGAAATATGACGTTTTTCAAGCGAACGAACGATATGCAACACTATGAAGATAAAAATCACGATATAAAAAATAATCATATAAATAAACTGCTCGCCCAAGGCTTCACTGGAAACAAAACACTGGATATATTTACTGCATACACTGAGGGGAAAACAAATATTACAATAAATCAGAAATGTAGTTAATCTTACTATAAACGTCAACGAAAGTACTGTTTCAATTCAGAATTTTATTGAAAAACACTCTAACTCAGAACTTGGTTGAAGAACGCCCTATTTCAGAACTCAATTTAAAAATGCCCTATCTCACTTGAAAACGTATTGAAAATGTGCTGATATAGGGCGCTTTTGAATCGGCAGCTGAGATAGGGCGCCTTTGAAATGAATTCTGAAATAGGGCGTTATTCAACCAAATTCGGAAATAGGACGTTTTGAAAAGTTTTGATAGGGCGTTTTCGAGCTGGCTGCCGAGATAGGTCGATCTTCCACTCAGCAGTCGATATAGAAGATCCCCAGCCAGCAAGGAAACGTACATTTTACGAATCTGATATTTTGCGGGGGTTACTAGATAGGCAAAAAATTAGAAAAAGGCTTGTAAATGATAAAACCAAAAAAAAATCTAAAAAAAACTCAAAAAATCTGATAGTACGCACACTACCTTACACACTCGCTATCGTTAGGGGCACGACCAAGACGAATTTATACAAGGCGGAGTTAATGGCGAATTTAGATTTTTGGCCGCGGTACTTCTTAATGTCCAAATTATGTGTTTGTTGTAATATGAATTTGCTTGTTGTAAACAAACAAACGCATCATTTTGACATTCAGAAGTCAAGGTTGTTTACTCTCTAGAAAGTAATTTCTAAAACCCCACATACGCAGTTTTGCATTTTGTTGATACGCGGTTTTGTACTTCATACGACGAAATTTTAATTATTTATCGGAGAGCGGTCTGTTCAAGCCGACTTCAGGTTTTTTGCATATATTAGAAACTTTAAATCCGAAGCTTGTGAAAGTTAATGGTGATGGTCTAATCACAAATCCTAATTTTTTGTAAAATCTTATGAGAAATTTAAAAGTAAATTTGAACCAAAATTCTTTAGAATTAGAGTTTTAGATCGCAAGATTGCATTCAAAATAAGAAAACGAAAAAATAACAGCATAATGCGCTCTTGGTTTTCATTATAAAGTAAAAAGAACAATTACGATTAACAGGCAGTTTCACCAGATTCATTTTAGTGGAAATTAACTTTAATTTAATTTTTTATTTAATTCTCATTTAAATTATTTTCAGTTTCAATAAGCTATTTATTTAAGCGAGTAAAAAGTGGTTGTAAAACAGACTAGGCCAGCGAACGCTTTCATTTGTACTGAGAGCTTTTGAAAGCTTTGGCACACTTTGTTGTAAAAGCAGGGCTGGTATACAAGTAAGCAGCAGATACACAATGATCAGGTGATTAAACGTGTAACAACTCTGAGTGTGGTTATTTTGATTTAATTTTTATTTAAGTGAAGACCTTAGGTCACTTAAATCAAACTTAAAAACAAATTAAAATGGATTGGTGAAACCAAAAATTCGAAAATCAAACTTAAATGATTCTGGTGAAACTGGCTGTAAGTCTTCTTTTATATTTTAAATATTTTTAATAAAAATAAAGCGAGCTACCTAAGTAAAAAAAATATCAAGCACTGATAATGGTTTTTGATTTGAAATATTATTACATTGGTATTAATATGGGAAGGAAGAACAATTGTTGTAATATTATCAAAGTGGCAAGGCCGTTGATAATACTCACAACTTATGAAACTTCAAAAAATTTTATTATACGTCAAATGTTGTTTATTGAAACTGACTTCTTTTTTGTATCATGGGCCACGACCACCAAATTCATAATTTTCAACTCAGGTTTCTTGCATTCACGATTAACATACATACACGCATACATTTTTACTTACATACATATGTATGGGCTATTCAATTGAATTATGTTCGCAACATTTTCAGTTTGTAATCAACGGTAATTTTTGCATACATATTTAAAAATTGTGAACGAAAAAGGTTACGCATACGCCATGTTGAACCGCTTGCTTTTCAAACAAATTTTTGCGCGAACCACAGCATATACACACATATGTACATTAGACTGCATCACTCCCCATACAAAAAAAAATCGGTACTATTTTTCCATTGGAATTATAAAATCTACTATATTTTAAGACGTCCACCAAAATATTTCGGAAAAATATTAAGACTTAAGTGAGCTGGACCGATTTGAAAATACCTCCAAAAATGTTTTTTTTTTATGAATAAAAATAGTTTATTAAAGATTTCTTTTAAAAAAATCCACTCAAATGACAAAACGGCTTAAGCTTAAAATATTTGCATAAAAATATTAAAAAAAATATTAAAAAAGAAATAAAAGGGTGTGAAAATATCTTTCTACTGAGATCCCATAAGTCTAAATCAGAATATTTTTAGTCCAGTTATTCAAGTTTTTCGTAAATCAATATTTGAAAAAAGTAAAAAAACAGCATCAAAAATCTCATTCTTACGATTCCATTGAAAATATTTTAAAATATTTTTATGCAGATTTTTTAAGCTTATTCCAATTTGTCTTCTGAGGGGACTTTTTAAAAAATGTTCTTCAAGAAACTATTTTTATTCATAAAAAACTTCATTTTTGGAGGTATTTTCAAATCGGTCCAGCTCACTTAGATCTTAATATTTTTACGAAATGTTTTGGTGGACGTCTTAAAATATAATAAATTTAGTAGTCCCGGCGGAAAAACCGCAACTTTTTTTGGTGATGCAGTCTAATGTACATACATTTGCATGTACATAACCATCGACAGCCATGTTAAAATCATACCATGCAGTAATTCTCGTAATTCGATACAAGCTGATGATTATTTTTATAAATTAATTACATTTGTGTTTCCGCCAAAAAAAATATTGCATACGTACATACATATAATGCTACTACATAAATATGTAAATACATATGTATATTTTTTTATTTTTTTAAATGCAATTAAATTTTCATCAATAAGACGAGTAGACAGATGTGAGTGCTTTCGCAATGATTACTCATATTTTTTTTAGACAAAACCCATGAAAATTAATTTTAAAAAATATGATACGGGTATATAAAAGTCAAACCAAGGTACTTTAAAACAGGTAGAAGCAAAATTCGGGTCAAACTTTCAAAAGTCAAAGTTTTCGCGGGAGTAAAAATGAGAATAAATTTGTGTAAGCAAAAATACAAAATTGTAGCAGTTTCTCATTATATGATTAGAATATTATATTGCTAGGTGTAAACATCTCATTATTGTATAAAACGTGTAATGTAAAGTTTAGTCTGGCAATGCTTTTATGTAAAGTTTAGTCTGGCAATGTTTCTATATAAAGCCGTCTGGCAATGCTTTTATGTTTTGACAGTTCTATACAAGGCGCATCCAGTTTGTTTGTCCTTTTGCATATTCCTATACGAATGGCTATAAAAGCGAACACTTTGTTCATAATTGTTCATTTCCATTTGGTGATCGGCGGTGAGCAGACCACTCGCATATAGCTACCTTGGCAGTGTGGACAACGATAGTTGGCCGCTGCTAAGCTGTTATCTGCTTGCATATCTGTATTCGCAGTGTGGACAACGGTAGTTGGCCGCTGTAGAGCAGATGGTATTCAGGCTCACCGCAGATTCACCAAATGTTGTATTGTTTGTTACAGTTATACTTTTAATATTAAATTTTGTGCAAAGACTTGTTTCGACCATTCTTTAAA